GTTTGACAGACAAAATGAGGGGTTCGTGGATTTTCCTATGTTTCGAGGGGTGCATCGAATAGCTTGGGACCGAAGATAGTACCAGAGCTGAGCCAAAAAGTTGAGCACGTTTCTTCGGGAGCTTCTGGTCTTAGAGTTACCTCTATGGCTTTACTTCCTTTCTGAAGGAAGACGTGACCAGAGATTTTTATGCCTGAGAAAAATCCCACCGACCTCGGCTGGGATTGAACCCAGACCCACTGGGGTAAGAAAGCAGTCACGCTTTCCACTACACCACCGGCACCGGCTTTCGCGATGTCCCTTCGTTATAAACAAACGGGTGTCACCGTTACTTGTCATGATAATTATAGAGATGTGATCCGATAACAGAGATGTGAACGATACAAACAGATATTATCCGTTTTTAGAGATTTAAGCTCGAAGATATCGGATATAATCGATAAAATGGATTTGTCCGACTATGAATCGATTCATCGAACTTTAGAGTTACACAGCAAAAAAAGTTGTTGAATATTACATCGAAACTGCTGCAACCAGGTCAATCCATCGGTTGTGTAATATCACATTGTACGATGTACATCGATTTTGCGAACAAAATTACATCCATTGATGTAATATTGTATCTGCTTTTTGCTATTACATCATTATTTCATACATCAGCTTGAATTACGTTGATCGATATTACATTTTTTTTTTGCTGTGTAGTTTTTGCAACATTTGATTAAATCTGGGACTTTCGTCCCCTTCGGAAATACCCCACAATATAGATAATTTTGGAATCGGGGTGACGTGTAGACTGCGGAAATATATGTCTGACGCCATTTTGAAATTCCAGATGGTGGCTTCCTATTAGAGAAAATCTTGTAAATACAGTCAACTCTCCTCAACTCAATGTCCACTAACTCGATATCGAGTTATAGAACTTAAAGAAGTTATTGGTTCTCAAAATGGCGTCACATAGATTTCCTGTTCCTACGCGTCACCTTGATTTCAAAAATATCCATATTGAGGGCAATTTGATAGTATTTTTCAGTATGTATACAACCGGAAGCCACCATCTTGATTTTCAAAATTTATTCAGACATGGGTCTCCGGTCCCTACACTTCACCCCGATTCCAAAAATATCCATATTTTGGGCAATTTGGCAGTATATCCCAGTTTTTCTCTAACCGGAAGCCGCCATCTTTTATTTCAAAATGGCGTCCGACACGAGGGGGCATTTCTCGCATATACTTGCATCGCGCATCATCTTTTTGCAGGAAATCTTCAGAATCGTCATCAATCTTCTTTCTATCTACTCAGCGTGCGAGCAGCTAGCCACAGCACAACACAACCTTTCCTGCAGCGTAGATAGAGTCGCCCTCCTCGGTCCGACATGGCTTTTCGGTCCTTACACGTCACCCCGATTCCAAAATTATCTATACTGTGGGGTATTTCACAGTATTTCCGAGTTTTTCTCTAATCGGAAGCCACCATCTTGCATTCTAAAATGGCGTCAGACGGGTTTCCGGTCCCTACACGTCACCCTGGTTCCAAAAATACCCATATTGTGGGTAATTAGGCAGTATTTCCCAGTTTTTATTTAACACGTCACCCAGATTAAAAAAAACTTATATTGTTGGGTATTTGACAGTATTTTTCTGTTTTTCTCTAACCGGAAGATGCCATCTTGGATATCAAAATGGCGTCAGACATGGATTTCTAGTCCCTACACGTAAGCACGATTCCAAGAATACCCATATTGTGGGGAATTTGAGAGAATTTCCAAGTTGTTCTTTATCCTGAAGTGGTCATTTTGTATTTCAAAATGGCGTCAGACATAGATTTTTGGTCCCTACACGTCACCCAGTTTTCAAAAATACTCATATTGTTTGGTATTTGACAGTATATCACAGTTTTTCTCGAGGCTTTTCTCTAACCGGAAACCGCCATCTTGGATATCAAACTGGCGTCAGACATGGATTTTCGGTCCCTACACGTCACACCGATTCTAAAAATACCCATGGCGTCAGAAATGGATTTCCGGTTCCTACAGGTCACTCCGATTCCAAAATTACCAATATTGTGGGGTTATATTATTTTCAAAACCATTCTTTTACGAAGTAAATCTCAAATAACTCACTAATTCGATATACGAACCCCCGGTTTGGTCAGGGGGTGATCACTTTATACACCTATTTAGCGCCATTTTTTTTCAGTGTGCCTCACGTGTGCCGCAGCTTTGCAGTGCCGAGAGTGTCATCAGACTGATTTTTTTGTTTGTATAATGGTATGTTTGGCAGCCCGGCGAGGGGGGTGACTCTATCTACGATGCAGGAAAAATCGTGTTTTGCTGTGGTTAGCTGCGAACACGCTGAGTAGATGGAAAGAAGATTGATGGCGATTCTGAAGATTTCCTGCAAAAAGAAGATTTTTCGAAGATTGATTCGCTAGTGCGAGATTTTTTGAGCATCTAGAATTGAGATTTAGATGTGTCGCCCCCCTCGCAGCCGGTTAATTTGTCAGTTCACATGTTTTGTTTTGAACAAACAAATCAACCAGACTACTTAGTAGTGGAATCCTATCCCAGATCCTAACTGTCGTGACTCTCAGTTAGTTGCTCCAAAATTTTCTCGGAAAAGGACTACACCTAATAAGCAACGGTCTCGGCCGAGGTATCGGCCACCGAAGCGGAGCTCCGAGCGAGAACTTCCGATTTCCGACAGGATAATAACTTCTACTGGATTGGAGTATGATGAGGACTCGGATGAAGCACAGGTGACGGTGGTAAGTAGACGAAGCGAGCGTGCATCATCAGGGGAAACTGGTCTAGATGCTGTTCAGATTCTAATGAACGATCCCGGGAAGAGTTTCTCCCAAAAGCCATCGACTCAGTCAAAGATGCGTCGCCAGCGTTCTAGTGGGAGTTTCAACCGGAACCAGACTTCCCTGGTGGAGGTGGGGTTTAATATGTCCACACGGTCAGTCAGTCCAATGATCGGACAAATGGAGAGAAGTATGATGTCTCTGGCGAAGAGCAGTGCCGGAACACCTGTAAAAGCTGAGGCGATGTCGATGGTAGGAAAGCAAACACCGGTGAAGATTCTACCTCCGAACATAGTCCGAGTGGTCATCGAAGTCAGTTACGATGAGGAACGAATCATGGAACTGAATGTCGGTTGGCGTTATGGCGTTACGGAATCCGAGGCGGAATCAAACATGGTAAACGACCACTGATAAAACTGATCAGATCTGATCGACACCAGATCCTTGAACAGAAGGATCGACTTGAGTGGAGGTTCTCCGATCTCGAAGTCTTCTGGTAGCGACTCTAGCACCATCTGGAAGCATTCCAGTATCACTCCCAGATTACAGTTGTTCTTGGCAACGGTCATCGCCTTGATGACCTCGCTAATCCCGCAAGCATACCGCGTTGACTTTTGACCGGTTATGAAGCTAATGTTTTGAAAATATGTGCGCTGTGAGGGAATCCATGGCAGAACTGCCTGAAATTCACGGTTGAAATTATGAAACCAAAAATTGGATTGTGTCAACAACAATGATTAACATTTTGACACATGCACACGCAGGCAAAAGAACGTAAGAATTCCATAAGAAACACTTATGAATTTTAGCCACAAGAAATCAGTATGAATTTCATTGATTTGCCTTATGAAAAATAATGTTGATAAAAAAAATAATAAATCGCAGCAGACTGGAACCGAACCATGGTCGTTGAGATTACGGAGTTCGTGTGTTGACCACTCGTCTTTCATCGCTTAAGAAAATGGAATGGCTAAAGGAGTATAAGAGCTACGTTATGTTAGATGAAAATCTTTCATAAGTCGCGTTTATGAAATTCATATTTGTCGTTCATAAGTCGAGTCTTATGAAATTCTTAAGTCTATTTGCCTCAGTGCACAGAGCAGGCGCAGATATAGTACAGTGGTGCCAGTAAGTTTAAAAATAATGAAAATTTCTAACCATGGGTGCTAATGAAAGTGCCCCAGGCCATCTGTATTTTTGGCGCACACTGTGCCGAGTTACCAACCCCTTGGGTTTGGTTCGTAAATGAAGGTTCCAGTGTATTGGAAAATATCTGTGTAAATATGCGCGCACGTGTCAGCAGAGGATTAGTCCGACTTGAGTACAAGTTTTTTTTTGTCGGATTGTCGTGATGAACTAGCCTTCGAGTAAGAAACATGAAAAATGCGAATGATTGTTTTGTGAGTTTATAAAATTTCTCGAAGTGGCAATCGCAATCAACGGAAGATTGAAACCATGTCTTTCTGATCAATCAATGTCACTATTGGTCACTTTTTTATTGTTTAAAAGTCACTATTTAGTCACTATTTTCGTTATTTTAGTCACTAAAGTCACTACTATTGAATCACATACTCACTACCAGCCCTGCATTGGTACTCAGTACGGAAAACAAGATCGACAGAAAAAAATAAGTAAATAACGCAATTTCGAAAAATAAGAAAATGCTTAACTCAATTCCCCCGATAAACCCTTACGTAATAAGTACATGACTCCTTACATGTATGAATTTATTTGAATCTGAATTTTACACTCGCCATGAATTTTTTAGAAAATCTTATAGTTAAACTTAAAACTGCAAAATTACAATACTTCCCCCCTTTACAAAGATAAACACTAATGTACTATATGTATTGGTATTCCTGTACCAAAACCAATACAAACGTTCAAATCATTATTGCATACTTATACATACAAAGGCTAAATCCAATCTGATTTGCACCTTAATAATGCAAATTCCGCGTAAATGTCGGAATCCGCTTAAAACAAACCGCGTGAATTCCGAAAGTTTTTCCGGTTCCAGTCCAGTTTTTTCAACTCACTTTTGATTAATCCATATTTGACGAAATTGAGTCGACTCGACTCAATTTTCAGTTTTTTTTTTCCGACCGATCTTCCGTCTAGAACATTTCTTGAAAGAACGGTTGATTCCTACAATGCGGTACGTTCTACGTGGTAACCCCCATTAATCTCTCACCTGAATTCGGGAAACTGTAGAGAAAGCGCTGCTCCAACAGTCCAGCCTCGTCGTAGTCGTCATCAGTCTCAAAATCTTCTAGTTGTTGTTGGCCCAGCAACCGCCGGAGGCTGCTGCGCCGATTGATTCGTTCCAGGTACTCTCGATATTTGGTTTCATATTCGTGCTGACTGACGTTCATCTGGTGGTGTGTTACGTGAAAAGAAGAACAAGAGTAGAAAACAAAACATCAGTATCATTTAATGCTGTTTTATCAAATAGCGTGTGACATTTTGAATATATTATTTAGATTGAAAGTCACGCAGTTGACATTGTCAGTTGCTAATGTTCTCCGCGCTCATGTGTGTGTGCGTGTGTTTTTATCTTCGAAGAAAAGAGGTCTCCATTGGAACGACGTGTGTCGCATGGTTTTATGCTAATCACTTAGAGAATTCTGCATTTTTTAAAAGTCCTGAAGCACTTGGCAACCGGATTGATCGCGAATCGATGTTTACTATCGGATCCGAAACGATCGAAATGTATGCGGATAACCCAGTACAAGTGGCTCAAACCGGTTAATTCACAGCGTTTTATGCGTTTTTTTTTTATGAATATAAAATCTTCTGCTTATCGTTTAGCCGTTTTTGTAAGTCACTATCGAGTGAGTGGTTGATAGTGATTAAATTAGCAGAAATTATTGGTAATTGTGTATGCTTGTTGGTTTCACCGACGTCAATAATGTTTTTAAATGAGAGCTGACCACAGATGGCTAGATTCTTCACTCTTTACTTGATCTTCAGGAAAGAGTCATTCGTTTGTTTATAGGATTTCATTGTTGGTTTGCGACTATACAATGTCAATATTTTTGAACTCAATTTTCTAATATACCTGAGGAGTTTTGTAAAACGATGTGGACACCGATAGGAGTGCAGTCGAATCCGTATCACTTTCACCGAAAAAAGGTATGTAGCTATGGGAGGTAATCAACCGTACAAGAAGGCTAATTGCTTCCCCTTCTAACAACCGACGACACCACAGTGCACCAGAACCCCCGCGGGGGATCATCTACGTTATCGAAAAGCTGGTTGAGTACATTGGTGCCGTCCGTCTGAGGAATGAGAAGAGATTTTTTACAACCGTCTTCCCTATATCTTACATCATGATGTCTTCCAAGTGCAGGTAAACGATCGGAGAGAAAAGCTCGGATGTGAATGAATGTAAATATTTTAACAGTACTTGCGCTTCCTATCATCATCAGTCAGCACAGCACCCTTCTGTACATTGACGGTGCACTTCTTATGTCTCGCTGGTGCAGGTGACGAGGAGAGGTGTCGCGTCTTTCGTTTTTTTTTGCAACATGGATGTCAACGTGGAGGTTTGATTTTTGTTTGGATTGGCTTTTCCACCATTATGATGCAACTCGACTTGTCAATGCGAGGATGCATACATGCTGCCGTTCGGATGCGTTCGTTGGGTGTGTTTGAAAGGCTCACCCTTTCTCTTTCTTGCTGTTATCGTTTTATGAAGCGATCGTAAGAATGTAGCCGAAGGCTAGCGATGGTAGACATCTTGAGTGAAGACGAGTGCAGAAACGAGACATTCTTCATCGATACAACATGCAACAGACTAGGCACTCAATCGGGAAACCAGGGAGAACTACGCGCTAAAGTATGGTCCACTTAGAAACCGGACATTTTATATACTCTATAGCAGCGCCTCTAGTGGTTGAATTTGGGATGTTTTGACAGCGATTTATTTTATTTTAAGTGGTGAAAGTTTCGTCTCGATGCGAGCAGTATTAAAAAAGTTGGCGAGAAAAGAAAATTTATCCTGCACACCCACCTCGAAAATGTCCCGCTTCTACCGTAGGAGATGTTCTCAAACGGTTCCGTAATCGCAAGAGTATGGCCCGGAAGGTTCAAAGCAAACGTTGTGCTGGAACTATGGATCGGCAGCTGAAATGGAAGGTGTTGAGGTTGATCAAGAGAAACCCAGGAATCTCGGATCGGAATATCGCCAAAAGATACGGTGCCAGCCGTAGTACGGTAGTACCGTCCGGAGGATCCGTCTGCGAGCTCACTACCGTTCATTCCGTGCCTCCGAGCAACCAAACAGGACGATGAAGCTGAATCTAGTTGCCAGAACACGTGCCCGGAAGTTGTACGACCGGGTTCTGACGAAGTACAGAGGATGCCTTCTCATGGACGACGAAACCTATGTGAAGATGGATTTCAGGCAGGACAAAAGTTTTACCTGGCCACAGCACGGGGTGATGTTCCCAGGAAATTCAAATTTGTTTTCGCCGATAAATTCGCCCGGAAACTGATGTTCTGGCAAGGAATTGCAGCTGTGGACTCAAAACCAAGCTTTTCATGACCAACAAAACGGTGTGCAGGATCAACTTTCTTTTCTCGCCTTCCATCTACAACTACAACTAGTACAAATTTTTTAATACTTCACGTATCGAGACGAAACTTTCACCACTGAAACACGTGTACTTTCAAAACAAATCGCTATCGAAACATTCCACTAGAGGCGCTGCTATAGAATAAATAAAGTGTCTGGATTCTTGGTGGATCAGACGGTGGCTTCAGCGAAATGTGTCTGCCTAACTTGAAGACCAATTCCGGAGAACTTTGAGATTTGGGCGAAGTTGCTTTTGTAAACAAACACATCAATCGCTGATTTCTCGCGAATAACAGCTCAATCTAAAAAAAAAAAAACTATACCAAATGATAGAGTTATAATTCATCTACCTGATTCTGGTGTTTGTTTTTTAGGTTGAGCTTTAATCTACGGGAAATTGGTGATTGACGTGTTTGTTTACAAAAAGCAATTACGCCCTAACCTCGAAGTTCTCCGGAATTGTAATCGATTAACATAGATTAGAACCGTGTTTATGGGAACAAAGCAGGCAAGCAATATAGCATTATCCTTCTACAACTCCGATCAAGCTATACTACAGGGAAAGTTTATCGCGGTAGTGGGTGGGATCAACAGCTCTCTCGCCGAGTACGAACTGGCCTTCAGCGACGGTTTCTATGATGTTTACGCACTTTTCGAATCCTGGCTTTATGGAAATACCTCAACGAATCAGTTGTTTGACGACTCATATCCCGTTTACCGACAAGACCGGTTGACTTCGAATACGTGGGGTTTTTACTGGCTGTTCGCTCGAGTTTTAAATCGGCGGTTGAGCAAATATGGGTCGCAATTACAAAAAAGCATATCGATTCGCTTAGCAGGGTGGTTTCGCAGTCATCATCCTAGGCGATTTCAACTTGAGCTGGATCTCTTGGCAGCGTAGTCCTCATAGTTCCCTCTACCCGATTATATCACAATCCTCGATTAGCTTGGCATCACGAAAGCTTCTTATGCGTATAGCCCCGCTGGACTCAGACAGATGAGTGGAATTAAAAATGAAAACAATAGGGTTAACTACCCCACTTCCGGCCTATTAAGCACAACCCGCACTTAGTCTTTCTTCAGGCCAGTGACAAGGCCTATACCAACAGCAGTGTTTGACAGTAGACAGCATGTCCCGGGCTCAAATAATTTATTTTGCTGTGCTGGGCCCGCTGTCACTGTATAACATATTGCCTACGCGCCTGACACTGGGCTGTCTTTCTTTATCTAGTGCAGCTTAGCACCAAACCAAATGTTATTATTACTGATGGCTTCCAAATTTATTTACCTTTCCGTACGTACCGTAAGATTTGATAAGGAGAAACCTATCGTTGAGATATTGTCATAAGTCTAAGTCTGCTTCTTGACGTCAAACTCGGCCTAACATCGGGTTTAGACAGGGCAAGTCAATTGATCAAGTCAGTTGAATTCAACTGACTTGAACGCGAATTGAACCAGGCTCAACTGTTCAAGCCAATTGAGTTCAACTGAGTTGATCATTTGACTTGCCTAATCTAAACGTAGCTAACGCATTGAAACGCCAGTGTATTCACTTCGGCCTATCGGATGAAGATATAAATTGATTCGGTCGGAGCGCTTCTTTTTTTTTAAGAAAAAATGGTTGCAAACGTTCATATCACGCGTTCTCATTGACTTCGTTCGGTAGCTTATTAACTAAAGTATCGTACCAAACGCATAATTGACTTGTTAACTCTGATATCATGGATTTATTTAAAGGCAAAAAAAGTTTTACTGAGATCTCAGCAAACATCTAATTTGTTTGCTGAGATTCAGCTAAGCATTATCCGAGACTCAGCAATCCAATGTCACTTTTTCTGAAACCTCAGTGAAACTTATTTCTGCCGAGATTTGCACAGCCGAGCTTGGTAGAAAAAACGAAGTGTGTACGCTTGATCTTCGTCAACACGGAACTATGCGAGCACAGTACAGTTATGCGAGCTCCATCACCGCTCGTTAAAATCTGCAGGGATCATCCTCCTGTACTGATGGAATTCAAGGTAAGTCCGGTAAGTCCACAGCAGCGTTTGCAAGATACCTCTGAAAGCATTTCGTTTGATTTCAGAACGGCACACTACAACAGAATGAACGATTTCCTCGCACGTGTCGATTGGGACGAGGTTCTTCAAAATTATGATGTCGACCGTATCTGGTATCCTGTGGTATGCCATGGACCTGTTTGTTCCCGTAAAGTCCAGACCCGGGCCGGCTAAGCCAGACTGATCAAATGCAGCTTAAGACTGTGAAGCGGGCAGCTCTCAGACGACATAGCAAGTATCGCACGGACTCCACGAGGACAAGATCTATGGTGGCGAATACTGAATACAACCAATTCAATAATCGTTTGCACAAACGCATATCAGGACCATCTGCAAAGCCGCCTCAAAACAAACCCCAGAAGTTTTTGGCGCTACGTCAATGACCAACGGAAGTAATCCGGATAGCCCTCTACGATGACCAACGGATTGTTCGAAGCTGACTCCACCACTGACATCGCCGACCAGTTCCGTTCTTAATTCAGCAACGCTTTCACCAATGAGCACATCGACCCGCACTTGCAACGCCACTACCAAGAATATTCAACCTATCTATAGCTACTGGTGTATTCTCGAACTGCTGGAAGTAGTCGTATGTTTTCTCAGTTTTCAAGAAACCCGAGCAGGAACGAATATCTCGATACCTTAAATTGGTTTCGATGAGCCTGACATAAGAGGTAAAATACTAAACAATAATACCAAAAAAAGTTCCAACAATACCATTCCAATACCAAATTTTGAT